CGCATGAAACCCAATTTTGATTTCGTTTAAATTGTTAAACTGCATCAATAGTAACTGGCGGAAAACTATATTGCACGGCGATTTGATGTAGATATTATAAAATAACGGTATGTGATTTTCTCCTCGGACGATCGAAATCGATCAGTTTATTCAACTGCTCACGTATTGACTTCTGATCTCTTGTTTGTATGTTTCGCTTGTTTTGCACTAGCCGAGTTCTGCCTGCAAATATATCTGACTATACTATTAACGCCCGCTCACTTGAACCTACGATCGCCGACGCCCAGGGCCATTTTAGTAAAAGGTATTTAGATCTGTTCCCATTCTACGTCACGATACACGAGTGGGTGGGAGCGACGTCGACAGATAGAATTGAGGCAATTCGAGAGACAAAAATAATTGAACCCTGCACTTCCCATACTGCTGCAATAATCGGGCCATATAGTAAGTATTCAGAGAACAACAACGGTTTCCTGCGAAGCCAGCTCCCGCGAGTTAATGGCGCGGCGCGACTAGACTCGGCTACCCCGTCTTCTGATCACACCGTCGTTATTGAATAGGTATGTATGAAGAGAGCGAGATACCACTCTACACAGGGACTCGATGATGCACTATGCACATGATCGTCAGCGATGTGCGTTCGAACGGAGATTGCGCGGGGCAAATTTAGCCGATGATCAAATTGCTTATCTGAGTTTTTCGCTTGGAACAGCACATAGAGCAATTAATCGTTTCGCCGATTAAACTAAGCGGCGATAAGCTAAAATAGAATTCTCTCGTCGATGTGTAGTAAGAAAGAAGAGAAAGGAGAGAGAAGGCGGGAACGAGAGAGAGAGTGAGGGAGTGAGAAAGGGAGAAAAACTTGCCAAGATGCTCGGCGGAGTAAACAATCGAATGCCTCGAGTAGATATCTCACGGCGCGCGCCGTTAAGCGTTTCAGTACGCTTCTAACTGCTACAAGCATCGTTCGATCAACCTGTTAGTAGACGGAAAGGCAACAGGAAACTGTACGCAACATGCACGCGGCGGTCTGTAATCGAATGTTGGCATCTAGTAACGTAACAGTCGGCACTTGGCACTCAGCCTGAGGCTTGGGCTACAGTAGGTCACGCCCTACAGTTGTACGTACGTTGAAAGATCCGCGGCCGTAAACTTACAGATAATTAGCATGTATCTGCTGGGAGAGCGGATGGAGTCGTAAGCGTGCGACGCAGAGACCATTAGCCAGAAATCGTCGCGGGCGAAGATTGAATGTATTTATAACACTAACCGGTAGTTTTGACATAAATGTAGGATATTATCTAACGTAAACTAGGGAGCTGGCTATAATAGTCAGAAATACCCAAATATTAAGTTTGGATTAGTAGGATAGAGCTCACACCGTAAATTGTTTTTTAGTTTGGAGATATGGCTTCCGACATTACCATGCAGGTTTGGGGGTGGTAGGGGATGGCGTGGGGTGGGTGGGGTGGGGGTGGGCGTGGGTGGGCCCGGTGGGGGGTGGGCGCTGGGGTGGGGGTGGCGTGGGGTGCGTACGCGCGTGTGTGTGGCAGCGCACCGCGCGGGCAAGTAATGAACACCAGCCTCGAACCAGCTCGCATTCTAGGTGCTGCGGCACACGGCCCAGCTTAATTATATGTCGTAGCACTTGAATCTGATGATCTAAATATAGAAATTCCAAAACCGCCGACTTACAGCCAAACTATACATCACTGATCTAAGGGAGATGGCGAACGAGCAATATCATCTCATCCCGCGGCGCGGCGCAGCAGAGCGTAGAGAAATTCATCTGACTCCTCGTTATATGTCCGTTTTCTTGGATATGCAGAGAAAAAAATTCTAAGCATCTATCAGCGCTCGCAAGCCGGCGCCTATAGTCAGCGTCACATACTTTCGTGAGGAGCCTTGCAATTACTCAGTGGCAGCTCGTCGTCGGCCATAGAACAAACACATTTTGTTGCAGACCAGTGGCGTCAGTAGAGCGACGCCTGACACTTATGTCTCGGCGACCAAGAATAGTTGACATGGTCAGCGTGCTGTGGGAGCGCGCGCGGGAGTAGACGGATCGGTCGATGCATTCGTGACTTTATTCATCGGGGCTTCATTCCGTTAAATATAATTGCAGAGCCTCATTATTCGTGGTTTCCAATCGCGAAGTACTTTATTCGTGAGTTTTTCTATTCGTGACATTACAGTTCAACTCTTATGTGTGGCCTCATTTGCGGCTTTATTCGTAGATTTTATAAATTTGTGAACGGTTAATTCGGAACTGATTATTTTGGATTCTCATCGTCGTTGCGTCACTTCGTGGCGTCACTTTCGTGACGTCATATCAAGCGCCCTCAACGTGCGTAGCTTCATTGCATGGATTTATTGCGCCGAGCCGTGACGTTCATTGCGAGAGAGGACTCCGTTGTCCCGTGAATTGTCGTTGCCAGGACAGAAAGGCCGCAGACCGGAATTGAGGCTGCATGTAGCAGCTGATAGATGCCATCGCTGGACCAAGCTTCCTGACGACACTGCCCCCCTCCGCCACACCGCTTTTCATCGCCACCATACGAAATGTAGACATCGTAATATGTACGCAAGTGCGAATCGGGAAGCCGTGGCAATGGAGAAAGGTAGAAAGGCCATCAGCGCCGGTTGTGGCCGAGTATCTGCGTGAAGCAAGAGTCCTGGGCGCGCGTGGTTCCCAGGACTTAACTCCACCGCGATTGCGGCAGAGACGAGTTTCACGAATCGATGTTAGGCAGTATGAGGTCCGAATTAGGTTTTCAATACTTGTGCTGAGACCATCAAGTTTTTATCCTACACTCCTCCCCCTCGACTGGTTGAGTTTCACTGGTTGTCTAAACAACAAACAAAAGAAGATAGGACCGCGATAGGCCTAATACGAGAAAATGCCATCATTCTAAAAAAGCGCCAATCCGCGTCAATGCGAGCGTTACTAGTACAAGATCTCTTGCGCTTTATGCAGCCGCAGGAAATAAGTTCGTTACCGACGGTATTGTGTAGGCATGCGTGTAGTGGAGAACGAAGCCGTGGTAGAAAGAACCTAAACGGAATGTCATGGTTCGCAAAGATGCCAGAGCTATGCGGTAAGAACAGAGAAGCCGGTGGCCGAGGCTGAAGAAGGAGAACCGAGTATGGAGAGAGAGAGAGAGAGAGAGAGAGAGAGAGAGAGAGAGAGAGAGAAAGCGAGAGAGAGAGAAAGAGCGCGCGCGAGAGAGCGAGAGCGGTCGATCGAGCGAGAAAGAAAAGATAAAATGAGTGAGAGAGAGAGAAAGAGAAGGAGCGGAGAGAAAAGCGAGGGCGAGAAAGAGAGAGGGGTAGAGAAAGGAAGAGAGAGTGGGGTAAGGATTTCCGGCTGACGTCATTATAAATTGAGTAGGTTACATTAACAGGAAAATCTGCCATCTCCGAGTTTTTTGTCAGGGCAAAAAGTCACCTAGTTGTATTCCCCGCGACGAAGTCGGCGGGGATACTATGGTTTCATGTCTCCCCAGCCGCCGCCGCCGCCGCCGCCGCCGCCGCTCGGTCCGCCGCAGAGAATTTCCCTTCCGCTCTATAACTCGACCCCTAATTGACCTAGCGTGACCAAACTTGGTATACTTACACATCTTGAGGAGAAGGTGAGCAGCGTACCAAAACCAGATCACTGCGACCTTTATTTTACCTTTACCTTGACCTTGATCATATTTCCCTTCCATTCTCTAACTCGGCCCCTAATTGACCTAGCGCTACCAAACTTGGCATACTTACACATCTTGGGGAGAAGGTGAGCAGCGTACCAAAACCAAGTCACTGCGACCTTTATTTGACCTTTACCTTGACCTTGATCACAGTTCCCTTCCGCTCTCTAACTCGGCCTCTAATTGACCTAGCGCTACTAAACTTGGTATACTTACACATCTTGGGGCGAAGGTGAGCAGCGTACCAAAACCAGGTCACTGCGACCTTTATTTGAACTTTACTTTGACCTTGATCATATTTCCCTTCCACTCTCTAACTCGGCCCCTAATTGACCTAGCGCTACCAAAACCAGGTTACTACAACCTTTATTTGACCTTTACCTTGACCTTGATCATATTTCCCTTCCGCTCTATAACTCGGCCCCTAATTGACCTAGCGCTACCAAACTTGGTATACTTACACATCTTGGGGAGAAGGTGTGTTGCGTACCAAAACAAGGTCACTGCGGCCTTTATTTGACCTTGACTTTGACCTTGAATCATATTTCCCTTCCACTCTATAACTCGGCCCCTAATTGACCTAGCGTGACCAAACTTGGTATACTTACACATCTTGTGGAGAAGGTGTGTCGCGTACCAAAACCAGGTCACTGCAACCTTTATTTGACATTGACCTTGACCTTGACCTTCATCATATTTCCCTTTCGCTCTATAACTCGGCCCCTAATTGACATAGCGCGAACAAACTTCGTATACTTACACATCTTGGGGAGAACACGGGGGATACATGTAGTTGGCGACAACTGCCCTTTCTAGTTAGCTTGATGTTTCTTAACGTTTTTCTGACGTCGCAAAAACCGCCTATTGATTGGAATATAGTTTGATTTCATGATACGGATGTTGACGTTTTACGCTTAGCACACACCACGCGACCTAGTCATTTCAACGTAAACAGAATTTCTCAGCTGCCAGCAAGAGACGCGAGGCGGAAATTAGAGTAGAACCAATTTGCTGCCAGCGTGTCCGGTTTATTAGTTAACTAACAGAAAGAGGGCAAGACGGTAGATACTTGCCAAGAGTCCGAGAGCGCTACCATTATCGAAGGAGTCTTGGTGTATGCATGCCGAGATTGTCGAGGCTAGATGATTAATAACTTTACAAAAATTATTAAGGATATCTATCTATCTATCCATCTATCTATCACCCCCCCCCCACTACCACCACCACGACGCGCGCGGAGGTACCGCCCCCTTGTGTCCGATATGATTAATGACATCATCGATAAACGATGTTACTGCATGTTGACAGGAGGCGGGGTCTATTGTAGTTGGCGTGCGGATGAGCTAGCGGCATCTACATTCTACAGAAAAGTAGATGCGAGGATTGGTGAGGATTAGTGACTGCATGAAGGTGGGTATAATCAGAGTAGGGAGGACATAAACCGAGGGGGTGGTAAAGGTAATCTATACAAAATAGGTAGCGTATATTGAATGAAATAAAATTGGGCGCAGGATTGTGTAGCAGTTGTGATGTTCATCGGCGATCGCTGGTTTGACATAATGGCAAAAATTGCTAAAGGTTGGTGCATTAAAGAGACGCGTGAATATGGCATGTAGATTTTATTATTTTATTAACCTAGCAGTTTCTTCCGAACCATACTCCGAGTAATTAAAATTAATTTAATGGCATCTTAATCATAGCCATCATTAAAGTCGATTGACTTGCGAGTTTTATCGGATTTCGTATATATTTTATAATATTATTCTATTAAGTTGATGCGTATGTGTCTTTATTACAGTTACGCAGTTCTAACTGTATCGTTACATTTCGCATACAATTTTGATTCGTTAAATTGTAAATGCATAATAGTAACTGGCGAAAACTATATTGAAGGCGATTTGATTGATATTATAAATAAGTATGTGATTTTCTCCCATGAAAATGATAGGTTTTTCAATCTCGTATTGACTTTTGATCTCTTGTTTGATGTTTGCTGTTTTGCTAGCCAGTTCTGCCTGAATATACTACTATATATTAACGCATTTTATAAAAGGCTATTTAGATCTGTTCCCAATTCTAGGTCACATACACGAGTGGGTGGGAGCACGTCGAAGAGTAGAATTGAGGCAATTCGAACAAAATAATTGAACTGCACTTCCCCATCTGCTGATAAATCGGCCATTAGTAGTTTCACCGGTTTTCCTGGAAAGCCAGCTCCCGCGATTAATGGCCGCCGCGACTAGACTGGCTACCCCGTCTTCTCACATCGTTATTATAGATGTATGAAGAGACGAGGAACCACTCTACACAGGGACTCGATGATGGACTTGCATGATCGTCACGATGCGTTCGACGGAGATTCGCGGCAAATTTAGCCGATGATAAATTCTACTGAGTTTTTCGCTTGACACAACATACAATTACGCCGTTTAAATAGCGGCGAAACTAAAATAGAATTTCTCTAGTCGTGTGTAGAAGAAAGAGAGAAAGAGAGAGAGGGGGAAGAGAGAGAGAGTGAGGGAGTGAGAAAGGGAAAAACTTGCCAAGATCTCGCGGTAAAAATCAGATGGCCTCGTAGATTCTCACGGCGCGCGCGTTAGCGTTTTCGTCGCTTCCTAACTGCTCAAGGCATCGTTCGAAATGTTTGTAGAGGAGCAACAGAAACTGTACGCCATGCACGGCGCGGTCTGTACATCGGTGTTGGCTCTAGTAACTAACAGGCTTGCAACTAACTGAGCTTGGGGCTTCAGTAGGCACGCCCTACAGTTGTACGTACGTTGAAATCGCGGCCGTACTTCGATAATTACATGTATCTGCTGGGGGCGGTGGTAGCGTGCGGACGCAGCATTAGCGAAATCCGGCGAAATTGATGTATTTATAACACTAACTAGTTGAGTAAATGTAGGATATATCTAACGTAAACTAGGGAGCTGGCTTAATGTCGAAATACCAATATTAATGTTTGGATTAGTGATAGAGCTCACACGTAAATTGTTTTTAGTTTGGAGATATGGCTTCCGACATTACATGCAGGTTTGGGGGTGGGTGGGTGTGGGGGGGTGCGGTACCGCGCGTGTGTGTAGCACGCGGGGCAGTATGAACACCCTCAACGACTGCATTCTAGTGCTCGCACACGCACTTATTATATGTCGTACACTTGAACCGATGTTTAATTAAAATTCAAACGCGACTTCAGCCAAACTATACATACTGATCTAAGGTGATGGCGAACGGACATAAATCTCTCCGGCGCGCGCAGAGCGTAGAGAAATCATCTCTCTGTTATATCCCGTTTCTTGGATATGCAGAGAAAAATCTAACATCTATCACGCTCGCCCGCGCCTATAGTACGCACATTTGTGAAGCCTTGCAATTTAATCAGCGGCGTCGTTGTCTGCATAGAAACACACTTTTGTTCAAGAACAGTGGCGTCGTAACGACGCCTGACACTTGTCTGGCGACCAAAATAGTTGACGTGTCAGCGTCTGTGGGAGCGTCGCGGGAGTAAGACGGATCGGCGATGCATTCGTGACTTTATTCATGGCTTCATTCGTTAATTAATTTGCGGCTTTATTCGTGGTTTCATTCGCGACTTTATTCGTAGTTTTATTCGTGACTTCATTTGAAACTTTATGTGTGGCCTCATTTGCGGCTTTATTCGTAGTTTTATTTGTAACTTTATTCGGAACTTTATTTTTGGATTCATTCGTTGCGTCATTCGTGGCGTCATTCGTGACGTCAATCGCGGCCTCACTCGTAGCTTCATTCATGGATTTATTCGCAGCCTCGGTTCATTGCCGGAGGGACTCCGTTGTCCGTGAATTCGTTGCCAGGCAGAAAGGCCGCACGGATGTGAGCTGCATGTAGAGCTGATATCATCGCTGACAGCTTCTCACGACACCCCACCGCTTTACGCCCTACGAAATTAGACATGTAGTATGTACGAAGTCAATCGGGAGCCGTGGATGGAGAAATAGAAGCCATAGCGCCGGTTGGCCGAGTATGCGTGAAACAAGAGTCCTGGGCGCGCGTGGTTCCGCAGGATTAACTCTCCGCGATTCGGCGAAGAGAGTTTACGCCATGTTAGCAATGGTCGATTAGTTTCAACTTGTGCTGAGTCAGTTTTTATCTTCCTCCTCCTCCTTCCGACTGTTGAGTTTCAACGGTTGTCTAAACAACAAACAAAAGAGATAGGACCGCGATAGGGCCTACGAGAAAATGCATCATTCTAAAAAAGCGCCTCCCGGTCAATGGAGCGTATAGTACAAGATCTCTGCGCTTTTGCAGCCCAGGAAATAATTTCGTTACCGACGGTATTGTGTAGCATGCGTGTAGTGGAGAACGAGCCGTGGTAGAAACCTAAAACGAATGTATGCTCGCAAAGATGCGAGGGTATGCGGTAAAACGAGAAGCGGTGGAGTGAAGAAGGAAGACGAGTATACTGAGACCGTAAAAACAAGGATTACTTACTGCGGAACGGTAAGTTGAAACGGTAATGCGCGACAAGGACGTGAGGAGCGGGCGAGGTGGTGACGTTGATATATTGGTGGCTGCCTTCCTGAAACCGCTAAGGATTTAGCACGAGGTAGCTGCAACACGAGAGAGAGAGCACGAAAGGGAACAAGAGAGAGAGAGAGAGAGAGAGAGAGAGAGAGAGAGAGAGAAAGAGAGAGAGAGAGCGCGCGAAAG